AGTGCGGGGTTATAGCACGTGGTGTGCGACCCTGAACAGTTCTTCCCTTTCTTTTCGATCCGTTGACTCTTGTTAACATGCATTTATAGAACTTGCTTACTAACGTAATTAAAGTTGAGATAAAAACTTATTATTCAGTATTAATGATCAATTCATGACGACATTTAATGCGAATGATCAATAATTGCAGGTGATCATTTTTGCACGTACTGAATCTGTGACAGGTTATGTCCAATCATTGCTGAATGTAGCCAAGATCTCGTGTAACTTAAAAAAAATCGTAAATTTTACATTTAGATAGAAGGCCCCAAAAAATAATTTTAAAAATCGGATATAACGATAATAAATTTCATTATTATCAGCATGAGGGACATTCGTATTTTTCGGAAAAGCACAGGCTTTGTCATAAGATTTTTGACCAATCAGAAACCAGCATTACTAACACATGATCAAAACAGGTCGCCAATCAACAGGAATTATTTATAGAATAGTAGTTTAAAACCAGAAATTTCGGGTACTGTATAAATAAACTTTTAAAAAAATAAAAATCAATCACGCAATACCTTACTAATAAAATAACTTCGTAGAGAACATCTTTTCAAGAACCTCAAGCTGCATCACGCTGGAAAAGGTCGTTCTGCTAACGGTTGAAGTACTATCTACTCTATAGCAAGAGGTAATAAAAGTATATGTACTGCTCAATTCACAAAAGTTGACGTTGTTTTTGCTGTTTTTTTTGTTATTTAGATTATTAACTTGTTAACTTTTTTGAACTTCCACAGACTTATTTAAAGTTATAATATTTTTTAAAAGATATTTAGCACGATAGAATTATTTAACACATACGATAATATAATTTTATTAATTATGTAAGATTTTAAGAAAGACTATTGAAGGATGTGTAACTGTTTACTAAAAGCCTTATAGAATAAAATGTTTATAATTGTAAAATTGTTATTAGAGTTCGAGTGAATAGTCAGATTCTTTTATAACGCGAGTTATTTTGATCTCGGAAATCATTGAATACAAATGTCCTCCATGTTATTATTATCTGATTTTAAGAAATTGAGGTTGGCCGTACTAAAACAAATATTCAAAACCTCAAAGATCAAACCTTAACTAAAATTTGAACCCTTAACTTTAAATTTTGAATAAAATAAGTGATCGTAAAATCATTGCCAGTTAAAATTAATTATTTTATTAAAATATAAATTTTTTTTAGTTATGTGGTTTAATGACTTAAACCTCTATCTATGGATTTCTAAACTGAGTTAGCTAAGCTTAATCGTACTATCTCTACATATTTAAATTTGCTATGGATTTCTAAACTGAGTTAGTTAAGCTTAATCGTACTATCTCTACATATTTAAATTTGACTCATTTGATTTTATAGTGTATAAATACTGCTGCTGCAGCTGGAAATATAAGCATTACTAAACTCCATATCTATTCTTTAATGATTAATTATTTATTCAATTCTTTCAAGATGCTTTTCTTTCTAATGTTCCAATTTGATTAATTTGAAGATGTTCTAGCGTGGTGTTTATACAAAGTGCATCTGCTAATGCTTTTCTTCCTTCTGATCCTATATTATTTCTGATAAGATACAAAGAAGTTAGCGTGGTGTTCTTGCAAAGTGCATATGCTAACGCTTTTCCACCTTCTGACCCGAGATTATTCAAACTAAGAACCAAATACGTTAGAGTGGTGTTCTTGCAAAGTGCATTTGCAAATACTTTTCCTCCCTCTAATCCAAAGTTATTCGAATGAAGATACAAAGAAGTAAGGGTGATGTTTTTGCAAAGTGCATCTGCTAATGCTTTTCCTCCTTCTAACAAAAGGTTATTATCATTAAGATTTAAACAAGTCAACGTAGTATTCTTGCAAAGTGCAGCTGCTAATGCTTTCCCTCCTTCTGATCCAAGATTATTAGATCGAAGATTCAAAGAAGTCAGCGTGGTATTTTTACAAAGTGCATCTGCTAATAATTTTCCTCTTTTTGATCCAAGATTATTATTACTAAGATCCAAAAAAGTAAGCATTGTGTTCTTGCAAAGCACTTCTACTAATGCATTTGTTAACGTTCTATTATTAATAGTATTATTAAGTGTTAAATATTTAAGATTTTTACTTTCTCGCAGAAACATTGCAATTAAAGAGCGTTTGACAGCACTTGTAAGTTCATCATCTTTTTTGAAATAATCTACTTTATATCCGTTAGTTGTAAGCCAAGCTCTGACTCCATTATCCAAACAAGAACCAATAGATTTTGTACAACTTTCGTAATCAAATAATGGCCTTGGATAATTTGGAATAATAATTTTAAAGGGAATCAATGAAGCTTTCTCATCATTATTTAATGCCGAAATATAAATTCTTATAAGTCTTAAATCATTGAAATAATTTGTAGGTTCACTCCATAGTATTGGTATAATAAGTCTACACCATTGACGGTTTACAAGAAGACACGAAAATAAAGTTTTATAATTAGTTCGAAAATTATTAAATATTTCAATAAGGATTTCGTTCGGTAACATTTTTGTTTTTGGAAAACTATTGATAATTCGAAAATAATTAAATATTTTAATAAGATATTCGTTCAGTAAAATTTTCATTTTGGGAATAAAAATCGGTGTTGTGGAATTTTAATTTAACTAAGGAATTCCAAATCTACTTTTTAACAACATACGTATATATACGTATGTACGACGTATTAATTAATTAATTTAACCCATTCTCAATCTTTTTTTTCATCGGGCGTGGTGAAGATCATTTCTTTAAATTATGGAATAAACAAGTTGTTTTTTTATTATTGGTCGCTTGTTTACTCGTGATCCGCCACATTTCCTTTTAAGCTAAAACAGAAAGATTTTCATCAAAAAAATTTTTATATATGTTCAACGATCTGATCAATCTAAGTTGAATGATTTCATGGGTTGAAATTTTCCTGATTGGCTGGTGTAAATCAATTGCCTGGGTAACTTATTTATACACTTTTAAAGTACTTTATAGGAACGTAACATTACACAAGAAAAAAATCGTCACAAACATTATTTCTATCTTCAAAAAAGTACTAGAAAGCGAACTTAAAATTAATCATTTATAGTCTTATTCACTGAAAAGTTAGCTTAGACACGACTTTCTGAAAGAGGTACAGAAAAAAGCTATGTTTGAATTTTAAAATGCACAAAAACAAAAGTAGTCATTAACAGAACAGTGTCTCTTTTTTTTTTGAGATTGAGATCTGGTTAGCGAGACAAGCTTGTTCGCGTTAGAGATCCGGGTTTTATATTTGATATATTCTTAAGTTAGCTTAGTTGGTTAAAGCTATAATAGCGAACATCATTTTTGCCCTACTCTATATTCGTCTATCTATCTTTTATACGTATATAAACCATGTATTTATCTATTTATAAGAATTTTTTTCTTAGTACCGTAATTAAAATAAGGGAAATTCTATTTTGACCCGGGTCAAAATAACCCCTCTTAAAATTCAGGGTTAGTGCGGGCCGTTAATTTCGGACGGGTTTTTAGTAATAAAAATATCCTGATCCGTTGGGTATTAGCGGAAACGAAGTTTCCGCTTGTACACATACGGTCAGGGTATTTTTGCTAAATACCCAGTGATCTTGATATAGTGATCGGGGTATTTTATTAAAAAAACCCTGATCAGTATCAACATAAGTTTGGCCCGCACTAACCCTAAATTATAGGGGAGGTTATTTTGACCCGGGTCAAAATAGAATTTCCCTTAAAATAATGAATGTATTTATAATGTCTCTCGATTTTCGGTCTTTACTTTTTGGACAACAAGATTTAATGACCGATTTTGGCTCTTGCTCATGACCTTATCAGGTTGTCCAGTCGAGTTTCGGGTTGTTCTGAAAATTCTTTACTATATTTAATTGTATTTATAAGATTTAACTAGATAGTTGTCCCCTGACCAGGTTTAAAATTAGCATGCACAAGATTCACATGTGCAAGAGTTGTTTTTAGATTTTTAAAAAATTTAATAAGTGTGCAAGTAAAATTTAAAAAAAGCTGCATAAAATATATAAAAATATATATTTGTGCGAGTGATTTTTATTTTGAATTTTAAACACTACTCTGTGATTGATTTAGTTAAATTTACTACCGTAGCTAGGTTTCATGCATAATTTTATATATTGTGCCCAAATATAAATGTCAATTTGTTTCAAATGTTAAACTATTAATATAAACAAATTAGATATTCAGTTAAATTGACGTCTGGGCCATCTCATAGGTAGAAGTTCGTCTGATTGGCTAATAAATTCAATTTAATTTTATATTACTTATAAAGTTTAGAGCACTTTTTAAAAAAACGAAAACCAACCACAATAAAGTAAAAAAAAAATCATATAGGAGGTTTCATTAGGGCTATAGGACTCCATAGTCAAAAATAAGATCTAACTCTCATCCGTTGTAATCGTAAAACGGTGAGTCAGTCGCCAATCGGTCGGATCTCTCGTGTAACCCTTAGGGTCGGTAAATCGGGTCGAAAGAGGCGTGTTAGATTTGGCGAGTGGTTAACTAGATTTTGGATTAGGGTTCTCTTAATCGTAGAGGGGTTCAGGGTAGGTTATTTAAGATATGCGATCACACTTTTTGTACCTTACGGGTTAGGGACAGATTATATATTATAGCAATGGCAATTACTGTTTAATAAAGATACTCGGTTTACAAGCAATTTTACTATGAGTGTTTAAGCAATTTATTATGTATTATGTATTCGCTAAGGGGAAGTTATCCTTCCCGAAGGGCCTTTCGGCCTTTATTTATAATTATCTATTTCTATTTACATTCTGCGATGCATACGACTGATACTTCCTAAAAGCCTATTCTGACCGATCGCTACTATCCGTCATATCCGTCATATGCGACCGATGCGACTGATGCGATCGATCTTTTCCTAATTGGGATATGGGCCCCAAGCGGTCAGGGTCCATCCGGGCTCATCCGGGTCCCACATTTCTTCCCAACTAAAATCCGAGTTCTACGAGGGAGTGTAGATCTTCGATCAACTGGCCCATTTCCTCAGTTTTGAGCTGTCGAAGATCACCAAACTTCAATGTATTGGTCTGGTAAATTTGAGCTGGTTCACCACACATGGAAAATACGTCGTAGACCTTTATGGAAGTGAGGTAGTAGTGCTTGGTGATTAAGTTCTGCAAGGCCCTCCGTTGTGCAGGGGTGCTATGGGTGAATATTAAGCCGACATAATAGGCGTAGATTAGGGTCTCGATTCGTTGCCGGTATCGTATAGCCCGAAATAAGAGAGGGTAGGTCAGAGTCAAACATGCGACAGGGTTTTGTAGCTCAGTAAAGGGTGGTGGAGTTACTACCACATCAACGGGCACAGAGTTAGTAATGTCATTTAGAATTTCCGATAAATTGTGCATTTTGTTGATCAATTTTCCTCATCATTCTTTCCCAGTTCCATGTGGTTTTATATTTAGTCATTCCTCTCAAGTTTCCCTACTTGTTCTCACACTTCGTTGATGTATTTTTCTTTCCTTCTACTATTTCTCACATTCCTCCTTTCTTTTTTCCTATATTATTATCAAACAAAAAAAAAAAAATTTTTTTTTTTTTTTTTTTTATTTGCTTTCTTCTGACACCCAAATTGAATTGAGGCCGTAGATGTACTAAATTCTGATTTTCATCTATTTTAGGACATTGTTGGGGTCATCCTTTGGTCTGGAACTTCTATCTCCTGAGCCCCATTGTCAGTAGGTCGATCATACTAATTTTTTAGCAATCATATATTGATCGTCACTGCTAAAACTTTCTCATCAAGCATCTGTATTTTGTAAACATCGTTGGAAAATTTTTCATATACATAGAAGGGGTCTTTCCACTTTGGCTCCAGTTTCCTACTTCTAGTGCCGTCGCCTGCAGCCTTGTACAGAAGAACTTTATCTTCCACAAACAATTTTGATGTTTTCTTGATTTTTGTATCATAATACTCTTTTTGTCGTCGTTGGGCACGGTGAATTCGTACGATGGTTTCTTCCCGAATTTTTGGTAGGTGCTCCAACAATACTATAGCTCGTTCTATTATTGTTTCCAATTCTCCATTACTGACGGGTTGCATTGGTTGTCAGGCTTCTCGACCATGCATGAGTTAAAAGTGTGTTATTCTTGTAGTCGAATGCCGGGTGGTCCTATACGCAAACAACATGGCAGGGATAATGAGGTCCCAATCGGTGACATATTCTATAGATTTTGCTATCGCCTCACGTAATGTCTTGTTGAATCGCTCTACTAATCCGTTGGTTTGTGGGTGATATGGGGTAGTTAATAGGTGCCAAATTCGAAATTTTCTTAAGAGTTTGTCTACTAGCTGGTTTCAGAAGTGGGATCCTCTGTCGGTTAGTATCTTTTCTGGACATCCATGCCAGCAAATAATTTCATTGAAGAGGAAATTTGCTACTGCTGGGGCATCTGCAGATTCGATGGCTTGGGCTTCAGGCCATTTCGTCATATAGTCAGTGGTAACTACTATGTAACATTTATTTCGGGCAGTAATGGGTAGAGGCCCCATGATATTTACCCCTACTTGGTGGAATGGTGATGATACTGGAATGGGGTGGAGGGGTCCCCTTGCCTTATTCTTGCCTCTTTGTTGGCATGAGTCACAGGTCCTAATGTATTGCTTAATATCTTCTAGCATTTTCAGTCAGTAGTATATCTGTCTAATCTTATTATATATAGCTTCTACTCTGAAGTGTCCTCCTAGTGGATGAGTATGCGCCATCATCAGTATCACATCGATTTCTTGTTCTTGTGCTACTCTTAGTAATCAATCAGGTTCATTTTTATCCTTCCTGTACAGTATTCCTTGCTCTAATTTTAGTGTCTTGCCGATTCTAATCACCTTTCTTCTTTGAGGCTCTTTTAGTCATTCTGAGAGGCGATTGTCTTATAGATATCGTTTGACTTGTCGATACAATGTAGGTTCCATTTTCTTTAAGGTCAGGATACCGACAATCTGGACTGCATTTTCTTTTAACGTTGGGTTTTAGGTTCAGCTTTTTAGTTGTTCTATTCCTTTCTATAAGCTATATTTCTAATTTGGTGTTAATTTAATTGGAGCCCCACAACCCACTCCAACACATCCTAACCTTCTTTAAGTTCATTAGGTCTGTGATGCATGTCACTCTACTCTATTTTATCTAAGGGGAAAACTATTATATCCTTTTTTTTTTTATTATTATTATTATTATTATTATTATTGTTCTTCCATCATGTCACTTTCGGTCTCCTGAGTGACTCTATTTATCCATTGATTGTGGTCAATGACTCATCTTAGTGGTCATCATTCCACAGCTACAGGCATCTGTGGGAGCATCTGCGGGAATGTCCTCGAAAGGGCATCGCGCAAGGATCTCATTGATTTCTTGAATCGCACATCATTTGTGTTCTTTCTCTAGCACAGTTTCATCTTCTTCCACAGGACACGGGTCTTCATCTTGATTATCGTCCAAGAGAGCTCAGTCTCCCTCGAATGTTTCCAGAGCTATCGATTCTAGAATCATTGAGTATCTTACTTCCTTTTCATAGGGTTCGCCAATGTATCTCTTGTCGTCGTATAGGTCAAATGGCTCATTGCCTGGAATGTGGTTGGGAACAGGCTCTTCATCGTTCAATTTCTCGTCGAGTTCCAATTCGTTCCAGATGGTGGCTAAGAATACTTCGACTTCTTCTTCTTCATACCACCCATTTCTTGTGACATGATTGTCAGCGGTGGTAGTAAGAAATCATTCTTCAGACTCAATTTCGAAGCAGTCATCCACCATGTAGGCCTCTTTCATGGTCCATCGATCCTCATTCCTTGGAGGTCTTTGTAAGTTTTCATCAAGACGATTATACGGTTCTTCTCTTTTGGGTTCAGCAAGGATGTTTTCGAGCAGGTACATGCACTCCCTCTTCTTTATCCTGTATTCTTCTTTCTTGGTTAGGTCCCACCAGGCTTCTCCCACTCCAAGGTGATAGTTGTGTGAATATCCAGGGTCATAAGAATCGTCTTCTGATTCTTCAAAATCATCTCATTCCATTTCACTACCGTTTCTGTACCTATTCCAACTCATTTCATCATCTGTGGAGTCGTCGATGTCCATTTGGTATACTTCTACTTCTTCATAGGCAGGTTGGTGTTCATACTCTGTCTACACTTCAAGCCACTTTAGGGCAGCCAAATCGTCATCGTTTGTCTCTTCAGAGGTTAACTCCATGGATTCCGAACATCATGATAGAGCATCGGCATTACTATGGACTCTCCCTGACTGATGCTCGATGGTATAGTTATATGGTTGGAGCTGAAGGATCCATCTAGCCCTTCTTCCTTTGAGCTTGAAGGTTTGAAGCCACTTTAACGCTAAATGGTCTGTTACCACTACAAATGGCATGAACCCGAAATAGCGGTGATAGTGCTCGATCACCCAAAGTATTACCAAGCTCTTGTTCGGTGGTCAAATAGTTTCTCTCAGCTCGTGTCAGACTTCGACTTGCATAGAAGATCACATACTCACTTCTTGCTTCTTTTTGGGTTAATACAGCGTTCAATTCTGTTCCTAAAGTGTCGGTATGGAGGTGGAACGTTCGATCGAAGTTTGGATATTGTAGTATCGGGACAGTAATCAAATAGTTCTTAAGTGTTTGAAAGCACTGTTTTGTTCTTCTCCCTACTCATATTTGATATCTTTTTGTAGTAGCTGATGTAGGGGTCTGGCGATAGAGGCGAATCTCTTGATGAACCATCGATAATAGGAGGCTAAGCCTATGAATGCCCTTAACTACCGTATCGTCCTAGGAATGGGGAATGTTCTTACTTTCTCTATCTTGGATTCATCAGGTCGAATCCCATCCCTTCCGACTATGTGGCCAAGAACTGGATTTCTGGCTGAAAAAACTTGCATTTTTCCATGTTAATTTTTAATTTGGCTTCATCCAACTTCTCGAATACCTTTCATAGGTGCACCAGATGTTCTTCGAATGTCTTGGAGTATACATTGATGTCGTCTATGTATAGCATGGTGAATTTTTCCAAGTATTCCACCAGAACTGAACCATTTGCCTTTGGAACATTACTGGGGCATTGCACAACCCAAACGGCATGACTTTGAATTCGTAAAGTCCTGTCTTGGTGACAAAGGCAGTCTTTTCCCTGTCTTTCTCATTCATCCTAACCTGCCAATATTCACTTTTCAGGTCCAGGTTTGAAAACCACCTTGTGTTTCGGAATTCCTCTAGCAAGTTATCGATTCGTGGAAGAGGATAGGCATCTTTTCTTGTGATGGCGTTCACCTGCGGTAATCGATGCAGAGTCTTAATTTCCCACCCTTTTTAGGTACTATTACAACGGGGAAGGCCTAGGGACTATTGGATCATATGATTAACCATCTTTCCTCTATGTTTTTTAGCTCCTTTTCGACAAATTCTTGTTCGTTAGAGGTGATGTGATACAGGTTTTGCTTTATGGGTTTGGCATCTCCAGTATCGATCGTGTGCATTAGTATCGAGGTTTCTTCCAGCTCTTTTGTATCTTGCATGAAGAGACCTTTCTCTTGACGAAAGAATTCCCAGGCTTGTTCCTGCTATTGGTCATTCAATTCTTTCGTTTGGGCAAATTCCTCCAAGTATTCATTAATACTACATTTTGAGGGTCCTGGATCCTGGGTAGGGGTGTCTTCTACGACAGTTAAGTAAATGGCTGGGCTTTCAGCATCTGCCTATGGGTTATCATATAATCACCCTTTTTCAATCGCTAATTCCTTTGTATGATAACTCTCCGTTTCCAACAGGTCTTTGTTCTCGTAAGTGAATTTGGAAAAAGTCTCTCTACTTTTGCTTTTATTGTCCCCTTGGGTTGGATCTTGTAGGTTTCTATTACTGGAATGAGATATCGGGACTTCAACCATTTGACCACGATATCTCAAGTAGAGCTGCCTTTCGTCGAAGTATAATCATGCTTGTGCTTTTAGGAACCAATCAGTTCCTAAAAGCAGGGTTTCATCTGTCGACTCGATCACTTGAAGGGTGCTGGGTATTACTACCTCTTGAAGGGTGATTTTTACATTGTTAATTTTCCTTAAAGCACAGGTTTTGGCACCAGTTGCTGTAATGACTATGGTGGAGGACTTTTCTTGAATTTTTAAACCTAGCTTATTGACTAACTTCTTCATCATTATGCTTACAGCGGCTTCGGAGTCGAGTACTGCCACGACTGGGTTTCTCTTTATCCTCACATAGCAACGAGCGGTGGTGGTTCATTTGTTGTTGTCGAATTTAATATGGGTGGCTTCTTGAATCAAGGGCAGGAGTTTGCACAGGATTTTGGCCAAGTTTCATCACTGGTTTGGATACTGAAGCATTTGACCTATGGTAGTGTTAGCCAGCATCGACAAGATATCATCAGCTACATTATACGGGGTCAAGGTATTAACGATTGATGGGTCTCTCTTGCGTCGAGGTCTTCTTTCTGGAATGAACACATCATCTTTCATGTGGTCAAGTCCTTCCCCCAAGTCCACCAGAAAATGCTCATTGACTTCTTGAGGTCTTAGTCGTTTCTCTCAGCATCCACCTGGTTGCTCTTGCACCCTTTTTCCTTGAGTTGTGCCACTAGCACTGGGTTGTGGTCATCTTTCATCCACAACGTACACCTTGTCTTCATACCATCTGTCATCATCATCCATATACTGATCAAGTCTTTCTGCATAGTTACTAACTTTTCAACATTTCTTTTAGGTTTTCTTTATGATACGCATTTCTGGGTAATATGTCTGGCCTCACCACAATTGTAACAGATGATTTCTTTTCTCCATCTGTTGTCATCATGTGGTTTCCCTTTTTCGTTCTCACATGGTCTTTGATGGTTCTCTTTAGTTGGGATTTCTCTATTTCTATAGGTGGAGGCAGCGTAATTGAGGGCCATCTGCTCTATCTTCTTAGATAGATTCCCCAATTCCTCTTCAATCGATTTATGCTGGTTTTTCTTGATAGTTTGCTTCCCATAATACTCTCCTGCTTCTACTCTTCTTGCGCTTATAATTGCCTTCTCTAGGTCTTCTGGTTCCGAGACAGCTACAAAAGTTGTGGTTTTTCCTCTTAGTCCACTTAGGAACATCTGTTTTACATATATATCAGGAAGGTCATCATCTGGATCAACTCTCTTCAAGAGCTGCTTGAATTTAGTGGTGTAGGTATCAACCTTCTTATCCTTTCTCTGCTGGAGGTTTTGAGTTCAATTTGCCATCTATGGCACTTCTCTGGAGTTGCAAAGAAGTCGATGAAACTGTGGTAGAAGCTTTTCTTTTCATCATCTTCATTCTTTCAATCCTTCAGTTCATTTTTTTTTCCCTTATGCCAATTAGTGGCAAGGCCCTTGAGATACCCAGATGCGATCCTCAGCATCCTCTTCTCAGTCCAATTGTTGGCCACCAAGGCTCTCTCGAATGTTTCCAACCATTCAATTAGGTCCTCGTCGTGGTTTCTACAGAAGGGTTTGATCCTGACATGTGCTAATTCTCATCTATTCTCAGGGTCTTTCTTTGAATCTGCTATCGTCATAGCGACCCTGGTAAACGAAGCAGTTAGGGAGTCCAATAGCTCCTTAAGTTGGTCCTTATTCATGACTAAAGCAGTTTTATAGATATCAGGAAAGTAGTTTTATATCTGTTCTAGTTTTAGTGTTTCTTTTTAATTGCTTATTTCCTTGTTATCACTGTTATTCGTTTGTTTCTTCGATCAAGGGGGGGGAGGAAGGGTAGTTGTCATTTCGGATCTCACAGTCACCACCAAATTGTAATCGTAAAACAGCGAATCTCTGGTGTAACCCTTAAGGTCGGTAAATCGGGTCGAAAGAGGCGTGTTAGATTTGGCAAGTGGTTAACTAGATTTTGGATTAGGGTTCTCTTAATCGTAGAGAGGTTCAGGGTAGGTTATTTAAGATATGTGATCACACTTTTTGTACCTTACGGGTTAGGGACAGATTATATATTATAGCAATAGCAATTACTGTTTAATAAAGATACTTGGTTTATAAGTAATTTTATTATGAGTGTTTAAGCAATTTATTATGTATTATGTATTCGCTAAGGGGAAGTTATCCTTCTCGAAGGGCCTTTCAGCCTTTATTTATAATTATCTATTTCTATTTACATTCTGCGATGCATATGACTAATACTTCCTAAAAGCCCATTCTGACCAATCGCTGCTATTCATCATATCTGTCATATGCGACTGATGTGATCAATCTTTTCCTAATTGGGATATGGGCCTCAAGCAGTCAGAGTCCATCCAGGCTCATCTGGGTCCCACACCGTTTAAAAAAATTAGCTTAGTATTAAATCAGACAAACTTCTGCCTATAATAGGTGTCCAAATCGACAATTGGAACAACATAATATATTGATAAAAATATTGATAAATTGTTTATCAAAAATTCTAATACATTAGTACAGAAGTATCATCCAGATAAAAAAAAATATCACAGCATATTTATTATTATTTCATTATTTGAATCATGACTATTATATCAAAAGAGCAATGCTTTATTTGACTGCAACTTCTAAAATATTTAGCGCTTCTGATAAAATTGAATTAATGGGAGGTTTTTTTTTATAGAGTGGCAGTTAAATTTATTTTAAAAAATTTTGAAACTAATGTAATTTTAATTAATTTTTGCTTTATTTTTTTATAATTACTAAACCTGTAGTCAAGAATTCCTTGATGTTGTACATAGTTTAAAAAAGTCTCGAATTATATAGATTAAGTTTTACCCATAAATACTAATCAAATTTGTATAAAATATCAATTAGATTCGAATATCATTAAATCAAATTCATTTTTTTATACAAATACTAATTTGATTAAGCTGTGATCTGATTTGGATAATTTTGATACTATTTGAATCGTAGCAATGAAACAATTCAGATGATACCAAAATTATCCCAATCAGATAACTGGGTTGCAAATATTACAGTTTGATTAACATTAGTATTTGAACAGTATATAGTTTTATTGGTATTTATATGAATTTGATATAAACCTATGCAAAATTCTATTTTGACCCAGGTTATTTTAACCTGTCATATGATTTTGTGACTGGTATACTTAAGTTTGCGATAAACACCTTTTATTTTACTACTATGTAACACCAATTCAAATAATATAGAAATAGCTTATATGTATGTATATACAAATCACAATAGTACATATATGTGATTTGTAAAAAAAAATTCTTCACTCAAAAAGTTCTTTTTTCTATGGCCCGTTCTAGTTATAATATAATTTACTAAACTATAAGTATTTTAATTTAAATAGTTCAATAATTAATACTAAGATTATGTATAAATTTTTTTTTTTAATAATAATAATTACTACGTATTAACACTATTTAGAATAACAAAGCTTTAATTCATTTATATATTTATACAAAGGCAAGTTTACTAAGATATAATGAGTATTAATTTAGCAAAATTATACAAATTGATTGTTCTTTTATGGAAAGCTAAGTATTTTTAGATTTTTAAATCTATTTATAAACTATTAATATTAATAAAACCAATATCACATTACACATTGCAAATAACAAGTTTTATCACAAATTCTTACAGTTCTACTCTCAAATTCTGAAAGACAGATTCCCAAAAAAGACATAATACTGACAAAGTTAGCCAGTATTGGTTATAATTTAGTTAATATTATATCTTTTTGGGAAAATAGCTTTTAGGATTTCGGAGTAGAGCCAATTCTAATATATGCAATTTGTTATTTTTATAAACATCTTCTTGAGTTGTGGCTGGCACTACCACAAATACCACATGTGTATACTTTTTTAATAGCATGTTTAGCACCAGTTTTTTGTCGCTTAGTACTACTTGGCCTTCCTTTGGTTGTTATAGTTGCAGGATCTTCAATATCATTTTGAGATAATGGATATTTGTTGTTTAATTGATTGACAAAAATAGCCAAGTCATTATTAGTTTAAACATGACCTGCTCGATTACAAATTGTCTCAACTTCTTTTAGCAAATCAATAGTATTTTTAGATACTTGTTGATTATTAATAATTGATACAGAATTATTAGTTGATATCAAATTGGTGGTTGATGCAGAATTGGTAGTAGTTAATACAAGATTGGTGGTTGATGCAAAATTGGTAGTTGATACAGAATTAATAGTCAAATCAATAGTTGATGTAGAATTTGTAGATGATATGAAATTGGCAGTTGATACAGAATCAATCGTCAAATCGACAGTTGATGTAGAATCAGCAGATGATGCAGAGTTAATAGTTAAATCAACAGTTGAAGCAGGTAATACAGAATCAACAGTCGAGATAAAATTAATAGTTGATATAATTTGTTGTGTTTTTTCAGATGTATTTACTATCCAATGTTCACCAATATGATTAATAGTTATTTCTTTTTGACTAGCAAGATAAAGAGCAATGATATGATGACATGGTAAAGAAAATTGTGTTGTATAATTACAACTACAAACCAAAGTTATATCAGTTTAATATACAGTATGTTTGTAGTTGTTATTGTAATAAACTTTAAATAAGCGATCTTGTTTCTCAATAGAATAATTCCTAGTATTAGCTAAATTGTATTGTTCTAATATTAATGAATATGTAAAATTTGATACAATAGTTGAAATGTTTTAAGCAATTCAGGACATTGCTGAAGAGTACTTCCACGTATATGATATTGTTGATATTCTGAATGTTGAAGTTGTTGACAAGATAATTTATCTAATGCATTTATTAACTCAGGAAAAGGTACTGTATAACCAAGTAAATGTTTTAAGTATGCATTACTAGCCTCTGATTGTTGTGTTGTTCTTATTCCATAATTAGTATTTTTATTAGTAAAACAGTATTCCCATGCATATGAAAGAGGTTTCCATTGCTCATTCATATAACTTTCTACTTCAGGATACTCTACCAAAAGATAATTCCAGCTTGTTTTAAACATTTTTTCGGTATTTTGCATCATTGTAATTTTGAAATCTTTACTAAATGCTAAAAATCTATTTCCAAGTTTTCCAGTTAAATTTTTAACTATATTTTGTTCTAAATGCCAAATACAAAGTTGGTGTTTGACATGTGATAACTCATTTCGAATAAATGAAAGCATAGCAAGATCTTTATCAGTTAAAATGGTTTGAATTTTATTTATAGTTATATCATCAACTACTTGTTTTAATTGTTGGAGTACCCAACAAAAGCTTAATATAGTTTCATTAGAAATAAGTCCACTTGCAATTAAAAATGTAATTCTCATAGCATCAACTCCACTAATAAGTAAAAGTGGCATTCCAAAACAATTGGTCTTGTATGTTGAGTTCATTAATACAATTTGAGAATACCATTTAAATACCATTAATGAATTAGAAGTAGTAAAAAATAAATTATAAAGTTTATTATTTCTAACAGAATAGGTAACTGTATACTCTTTTTTATTTTGTAAATTGTTTAATAATTCAGCAACTTGTAATAAACCTTTAATATGATCACGGGCTTGACAAGTTAAGACATTATATACATCTTTGCTATGAATATATTGACTATATTCTTCAGTTAACATATTAACAATTGTAGGTATTGGTATACCACTATTGTGAAGTACTTGAACTTGAGTCTTCTTATGGCTGCTTAATTTTTGATGACCAAGATCAAATACAACAACTGTAGAATCTAATAGATGATTATATTCAAGATTTGCTGACTTAATACAATAATGATTTTTATTTTTTACCCAACAAGCTGTTACTTTAAATTAACAACCAGTTGCAACACTTCTTGTAGTTTGTAATTCAGTACTTTTATTACTTGCAGTGCCAGCATGATGGCAAACTATATCTGCTCTAACTATTAAACCTAAATTTCTATCTGTACGGGCAAGTCTTGTAGCAAATCTTTGCTTAATAGCATAAGCATTGATATATTGTTCAGCATCACACCATTCAGTAAAAGTATATCCTACAATTATTAATGGTTTAACCAAATTATTATCAGATAAAGATTCTTTGGCTATAAAATCGGTATTAATAGATAGTGATGATGATTCTTGATTTATAGATAGTACTGATTCTTGATTTATAGGTGGTGCTGATTCTTAGTTTATAGGTAGTGATGATTCTTGATTTATAGATTGATTTGTATCTAAATCCAGTTCTAATAAAGAACGACACCAAATAAAAAATTCACCAATACTAAGTTAAGAAAGATTGGTATGATTTTCAAATGGGTCTGAAATTTCAAGAGGATAAGGGCTAATACATTTTGTTAGACTAAGTATGCAATAAGAAGAGGGTATTGTTATACTATGAAATTGATTACATTCTTTGTGAAGAATTGCTATGCCTACAATAGTCCTATCTGATGTAAGTAATTTCATTGATTTCATTTTAACAATAGATAAGATTCCTTAAGTAAAAGAATAATCAAATAAGAAGTTACAATTGTTAGTTACTTGCCTGTATCAATCTATATACAAGCTAAGCTATGACGGTAATATGGTGTAAGAGATATTAATTTACTACGCTTATTAAATTTATCTATTAGTAATGATACTGTTTGTAATAAATACATCAATATAACGTATGATTTAATAAATTAAACTATAGAACAGTAATAGCAGGAACTCAGATTAATGATTAACTAACTTATTAATAACTTTTAATAATATTCGCAAGCATATAATATGTACAAGTTTTATGTATTATACTGTATAGTACCAACCTATCATTATTGTTTTATAGTAAAATTTGAATAACTTTGGTAATCGTATAAAAATTTTTTTATTTTGCCGGCAGAATTATGTTCATTATGGATTAGAACAATTTTAATGCTGTTGAATTAAAGAGGTAAGAAAATTTTATGCGGCTCTAATCCCTACCTGAACGTTTATCATCCACTGAATTTTAATTTCAGAGAAAAATAATTAAGCCACACTAGCCACATACCACGTGATAGGTTATTTTAACCCAGGTCAAAATAGAAACGCTCTTCATGTCACGTGACAGGTTAAAATAACCCGGGTCCAAATAGAATTGCCCTAAACCTATTTACAGAATGTTTTATATCAGATTTACTATTATAAAACCAACACATAGTCTACTCTCATTGCCAACAACTCAACAACTCAAAGTTAAATGATATATGCATTATATGTGATTATTATTCTAGTAATGCTATGTTAAAATGTTATAATACTAATACTGTATCACAGATTTATTATAAAATCAAGTATACCAATATTTGCGGCATTTACTGTATGCTAATTTTTAGGTTAAATATAAATTGGGTAGCTAAAAATTATTATTCATTGAGGAAATATTCAAAATTATTATTAAATTAAATAATTTATCATTTAAAAATTATCCAGACATCTTTTTATCCTTAAGTGCACCTAGCCAATTATTGATTCTTAATGATTACGAGCATTTATGATTAGCAATTGTTATCATAATCAAGAATCATATGAGATTAATTTCATTAGGATACTATTGTAGTACAACGTGACTTATGTGCGTGGTGCTAAATAAATTTGGTTCATAGTGCATATCAGAAAACTCCGCCAATCTAAGCAGAAAAATGGCAATTAAACACTTTGAAAAACTTTCAAATAATTATATTGAACTTTTTGAAAAAGGAAATGACTTTAATGTAATAATTAAAGTAGGAAAATCTAATGACTTAAAGGAATTTAAAGCACATTCAGTTATTTTGAAATGTAGGTCTTCTTATTTTCAAAATAAATTAGAAAATGTCACCAAAGATGCCGATAGTATTATGAAAATAGAATTAAATTCCCAGATTTCTATTCAGCAATTTGAAATAATTATTAAGTAAGTCATATGGTACTTTTAGCTTATATTTAATTATTATTATACAATATGCCCAGATTTTAACTTAATTTTGACAAAAAGGTATATCTATGGAGGCTTTGTTTCTTTGGAAAATTTCGATACCCAATTTATTTTTGATCTTGTTTTAGTTGCTGATGAATTTCTTCTTGAAGAATTAGTTGAATCTCTTGAAACTTATTTAATTGAGTCTAAAGCACACTGGTTACGCTCTCACTTTACTCATATTTACAAAACATGCTTCAAGAATAACAAACTTAAGGAACTACAAGAATGGTGCAATAGCGTTTTAGTAAAGCACCCAAATATCATTTTTGACTCTGAAGATTTTGATTCTCTTAATGAAAATGCATTAATTTCACTTATTAAACGTGATGATCTGCAAATGGAAGAGATAAAGATTTGGAATTATGTTATAAAATGGGGAATTGCGCAAAATCCTGATTTGCCTTCTGATTCTGAAGATTGGTCTGATGAAAATTTTATGGCTCTTAAGATTACTTTGAAAAGTTGTTTACCTCATATTCGTTACTTTCAAATATCTGGTAAAGATGTTGCAAATTATGTATTACCATACTTTCAAATTCTTGAACAAAAACTTTGGAAAGATCTGAATAAAAGCATTTTGCTACCCGATCATAAAGTTACATCAACAATCTTACCTCCTCGTAATATTTTAAAATCAGAATTACCAACTAGATCAACCGAACCATTTTCAACCGTTATTAATGAAGAACATACAGCAGATATTGCATCATGGATTGATAAAACATCCACTCCATATAATACAAGTAATAATCCATATGAATTTAAGTTACTGCTTCGTGGAAGTAGAGATGGATTTAATCGTGAATCATTTTGGAAATTATGCAATAAGAAAGTAAACACCGTTACGGTTATAAATGTAAAAGGTAATGATAACATTATAAGATTACTTGGTGGATATAGTTCAGTTGCATGGGATAGCAGCAAAAGTAATAATTACGTCAGTTGTCAAGATAGCTTTATTTTTTCATTAAAAAATAACACAGCTCAAAATTCTATTCTAAGTCGTGTTAAAAACTCAGAATATGCTATTCATATTTCTCCATCTAGTTACAGTGTAAATTTTGGCGGTGGTTCACTTATCATGTTTCATAATAAGAATGGCCAATATAATGGATGCTCTGTTTATTGTAACAATTATTATGAAAAAGCAATTGCCAATGAATTACCTTGTCATTATTATGTAAATGAATATGAAGTGTTTCAAATTCAAAAGTCCAAATAAAATTTGATAGTTATCACACTAACCCCGATTTCTAATGGATTCGTATTACACCTAACATTTTGGATTTGGTCTATTGACATTTTTTTATTTATTAGTTTCTTAATTATTGAAATTTACTAACGTAACTGGTGATAATATTATAAGAATTTTCGGTGGATATAGCTCAGTTGCATGGGATAGCAGCAAAGGTAATTACGTTATCAGTTGCCAAGATACGGTAGTTTTATTTTTTTCACTAACATAATGCAGCTTAAAATTCTATTTTAAGTCGTGTTAAAAACTCAGCATTCGTTATTTCTACTGATTTTCTTAGTCACGTTACTCTCTTTTTATGTTAGGTAAAAATTGTCAAGATCATGGATGTGATGCTTATAATGAAAAACAAATTGGAAATAGTGTGAATTATTTTTATAAACGAAATACGAATTATTTTATAAACAAAATATAAAGCATTGCATATTTATAAAACAGTGAAATTTAATGGCTGTCGTTCTAGCCCCAATATATAATAGATTTATATTTTGCGGACTTAGATTCTGGTTTTGTCTGTTAGCATTTTATTTTTTGCAATATTTTATTATGTCCTAATTAGTTAAATTTATTAACGCGGCTAAATTTCGCTAAGCTTTCATGTATAATTACAAATTGGGATAAATTAATACTAGGGTATAAATTACATTATAAATTATAGGACATTGATAAACTGTATTCAAAATTTCTAGCACCCATCATATTAAAGATGTATCAATTATGACTCATCTAAAAAAATTTATTATTATGAAATTTTTTATTTTTTTTTTGAGACTGTTGAATAAAAGAAATCTATTCTCATTTTTCTTTACAAATGTTTATCACATTTATAATCATTAATCGAGATCATCTCGTAAAAGCCGTATTATCATGCAAACTTTTTTTAGTAATGAAATCTTATTTTAAAAACTTTCAAAGCTATAAAAACCTAATAAAAACATGGCTTAAGAATTTTCATTTTTTACATATGATTCCTTTCCGAACATTCTTGAAAAAACCTTGATTTATTGAGTACTGTACAGCATGGATTAAACTCTGAAAATGTATACCAGGTTTGTGGCGCAGACGAAATTCTTAAAATATGCAAAGTTAGCATTAGGAATAGAAGTTAGAAGGGAATAGTTGATACTATGAAGTTTTCCAAAGAAAACTCTTCGTTAGAGCTCAAAAGAGGGTTCTTATACTGACTTTTAGTTTATGAGTGATTTTTGGCTGAACGAACTTTTGTTCTGAATCTCATGAATGCAAACGTTGTACACATTTCCGAATACTGTAATAGGAGGGTCTTTTAGTCCATGATGTACAGTAATTTTATTGTGATAATGGTCCAAAGTTTTTTTTTGATATAAATGATTATAGATCATACAGGTATAACAAGTAAATTTAAAATTTATATTGATGACCCGTGGGTCGATAGTGCAGTAGTTAGTGCTCCCGAGTCACAATCGCTAGGTCACGGGTTTGAATCCTACTGGGGGACGAGGCTTTGCTAGGACTACGATTGGAATTGATCGTTGAAATGATTCATTCAATTGAGAACAAAGACCATACATCCAAATGCAGTCTGGTGGCATAACTACGAGGTCAGAGACAACCAGATAAGGAGTAATCCATCAACAAAAGATGCTAAAATTGAGTAAACTCAGCTTAAAAAAGGATCAAATATAATTAGAAAATTAACAAAATAGAAAAGGAAACTGTGAGGTCGTGACTAGTGTTACGGCCTAAACCGAAACTTTCGGCCAGGCAAAACTTCCGAAACCTCTGAAGCCTAGTTTCGCCCAAGGTGCCAGGTCTGAAACTGCGAGAAACGTCCGAAACTGGGCGAAACTTGATCTTATCTCTATCAAAATCAACATATCATGTGACGCAGACTTCGATACGACGATTTCTAAAAGTCGCGTGACCACAATTTAATAAATCTATGAGGAGGTTAAAGGCCGAGATAATAAATAGAGAAATTAACATTATTTAATAATCTAGAAAGGATCATTCGCATTGTTTTTTATCAGGTGTCAATAGACAAAAGGCTTTATACCAGGAACGGAGTATGAAATACGGAGTGTATGGTTTTATGGCAAGTTAAGTGAGGTTCGCAATTCTGGGCATATGATTGGATGTTACTACTAGGGGTGGGTCGGTTACGGTTATGACCGGTCATTGACCGGTCATAACCGTAACCGATATCGGTCGGTCATAGGT